ATCAGAAATTGTTTTTCATAATACAGGCAAACTTAGGAAAAAGACCATTGGTACGGGTAAGCATCTATTCAGGTGAATTACCATATGAATTTCTTACTAGGTTAAACTATAAACGGCCACATTTAGGTCGCAATATCAAGCAGTAGTTTATATCGAATATTCGCCTAGAAACAAATGGTAGAACACTTTTATTTGTATGGAAAAAAACCGGAAAGATATGATCCCAAAATTAAACAACTTTCAAAAATGCGATCAGCAGGAATCGGTTGACTATCTATTTATACTGACTGATGACTACCCGATGAACTCTAGAAAGCAAATACTTTTCTTTTACACTGATATTCTCTTTCGATGCCTCATAGTCCATTAGTGACTACTACATTTAGCCGTAAAATAGGTAGTTGATAATAAACTATTTCAGAAGACAAAAACGAGGGTCAAATGGAAAAATGGAGATATCGGCAGTGTTCGGTATATCGTGTACTTCAGTTTGATGGTAGCAATATTGTTATACCGTGATAATTCCAGCAAAGCAGACAATCTAGACGGATTAAGTGTAGTTTGCTGGCTGGAAAAGTACACGTCTGATGATTTACTCTCGAATATATTTGAAAATATTGTGAACACTGTACTGGGCACTTCCCGGTGGCGGTTACCGGTGGAACTTCTGGATGACATTTGGATATTCGGGATTTTGCACGCTACTCATGCTGAGAGCCATGCGAGTTTGGACATGCAGACACTTAGCTAAATCCTTCAGCAATCAGACAGGTCGGTACCACATTGAGTTACGCATTAAGTCGAACCTGTGATTGTCAGGAAGACGTATGATCAAATAAGAACACAATTGGCATTTAGTCGTGATTTTTGGAAAATGGGTGGTTCACTTACCACACTCTCGTCCTTTATTTGCAATTTTGACTGAAATACTATTCATTGATCGTCAGTAAGCTGTATTTTGTGTTGAGAAGATTTATCAGAATTAACTCACAAAGTGCCATTGGACAAATTTAGCCAGTCTTCTTGCACTCAGCTCTGTAAACAACGAAACGAATAAGGCATATCAATAAAAAGTGATAACTTTATCCGCATCATAAATCAGCAGCGGAATTGCAATAAAATAACATTTGCGATGAACCGAGGAAACGTATAAACAGGGATAAACAAGAAATTATCCGAAGAGTTACCCACTTGTAGTGGTTTTTACTCACTGTTTAAGAGAATCTTTGGAATAATTTTATCACTGAATCGCCAGGCAGAATGTTTTCGAGAATATATTTCCGTTTTATGCGTACATCATTTTCGGCGCAAGGTTGCATTTGTCATTCGGTTCTCATTTCGTTTGCCTAGGTGATTTTTATTCTGTGCGAAAAGCATGTACACCTACGGTTATTCGAATAAGCTGAAAAAACTGTGAGGCATATATATATATATGTATATGTATATATATATATATATATATATATATATATATATATATATATATATATATATATACGATGTATTGTACGGGAACACTACGCTGCGAAATATAACAGGGAATGTGAATAACTTTCTACTGACTTTCCAATCCACAACTATCTTAGAATTAGTCGATTGAGATGGTACTCTATACGTTTTATGGGAAGGGCAACTGATCGCCAACTTCATTTGTGTAGTACATTGCACATCACAATTTCCCGGTATATTCTGCCTCTGCTTTTTGCTCTTTTTTATACAGAGAGCCATGCGTGTTTCCTGGGCTAATGTGGTGAAATGTATAACCTTAAGGGCCTTTGAAAATGTTTTCAACATGTTGCCTTGTCACTGGTAGAAGGATGCTATCAACGAGGTCCACAAATGAATAACAAATACGCTGAGGTTGTTCAATAAAACTTGAAGGCTACTTCATCTCATTATGGCTTCTGGACACTGATTGCCTTTCCCTTGGTTGACGGTACGGTACACTCTATTTATCTTTCCGAATGGGTTGCTTACGTCCCAACATTTTGTTTACAAATACCTTAGCGATAGACAAAGTTGAAAAAATCCGTGAGTTTCAAGAACTATCTATTATTTCTAAAATCATATTTATTTGAAAATGATGATTTTCGAGTAGGATTCACGAATCCATAGGTAGCCAATCAATGTCAATATTTTACTCACACCGATCAGGTTCAGTATTCTGCACACTCACGATAACACAGTGGACAAATCCTATAGTCATACCACCATAAATTACGCTTGAACCTTCCTTTCTGTTTTTCGTGGATAAACCGAATGTGTAAACCGGTTTATCAATGCCCTATCATGGAACCAAGCTTAGCATTATTCTGGATTTGGGGCCTTAGATTTTCGTTATTTCAGGGCAGAATAAACTTCAACTATGCAGTGTGACATATCTGGCCGTAGCCAATTGTTTAACGGGGTTATCAGGTCTGACGTGATACACTTGGAACTCTCCACCAGCGGCCCTGTAAATATTTTCGACATCGATACATAGTAATCCAAAATTTTTCTACATATCAACATTTGAGGTCTCAAGTGCCAATTTAATATCATGGTTCAGCTGACCATTATTACTTCTGTCTTTGCCGGACTTCGAAGCTATTTGGTATTCATTTCTCAATATGAGCGTCCAATAGCCTGATGTCATAAGCACTAAAACGTATTGTGGGTTCAATCCATGACGTGAGTAATTGTATTGATTCGATGTATTATGCAAGTAGAGCAGTGGGACCAGTGTCCATATGGTGTGCTAAACGTTAAGTGAATTGCGTGATACTTTAGAGTAGGTATGTCATTAAAAATCGCGTCTTTTACCCAAATGATCCCACTTGCGTTCAGGATTCCAAAACCAAATAGAAAATTCCCAGAATAAATGTGAAACAATAAAATTTCAGATACAAATATGATAAGCACATTTCTGAAAGCCCATTCATCTTGATTGAAGTATGAACCGAACAATCAACAACAAACACATTGCATTGTAAAGTGATTTGGACATAGAGCCACTATAGGTAGAAAGATGAAGCGAGCACTACAAATGAAATCAATAATCAGATTGTTCAGACGTAGATCAGAATGAATTAGTGAGGTAGCTTTGGCATTCTGGTTCTATGAGAATGTACATATTTCATGGTGAGTACAGTTTGCGGTGTCAATGATGAGTAAGGCCAGTATGTTCACCCATACGCGCAATCAGGTAGGTTTCATTTTGAACACTAAGTATTTCTAAGTGCATCAGTTTGACTGTCAAATAATTCAGTACGGAATGGAGTATGAAGTAATAAATCAATATTTCCCGTGGAATTTTCTTTCGCAATAGTTCAGGGATACCAGAACCAGCGTAAGTTGTAACAATTCACTGAATGAGTTTCATCACGATTTCATATGATTTCATATGAATATCTAGTAGAAAATCACTAATGGTTTCCGTATGAAGAAAACTTTGTTCAAATGTGCTTTAAAACCCACATAAAGTTGGTATCATGTTTACAAACGTTTATTTATGTAAATTAATTTCATACTTTGTCATTTATTTCGAGTCGAGTATTCACCGTTTAAATTGCGCATTCTCAGAATTATGTACAACTGGTATCTGAAAGCTTATACTTGTGCCTGTACATTGCGTAACGTTCGCCATGGTTAAAACTTCATATGAGATTTCGAATCAACAATGGACTGGTCTTTACTTACAGTCTAACGAAACCGCACTGTGTTCAGTATATCGTCAAGAGCCACTGCATAGTCAACACTGGATCATCATTCTCCAATAAAGTGGGCATACGTATGATTTTCCATGAGACAACGGTAACGACTCTTAATCGTAAGGTGTATTTTGATTGACTTACTTCAGAGACTAGTTGATCCGTGATCTGTTTTTTTAAAAGACAATAGATATGCTTTCCTTCGGCAAACGCACACGGATGGATTATTTCCAATTCACATCCTTCGCTCATATGACTAGCACTTTTTCGGCCAAAACCGAGCATGGTGTTGGCTTTCAATCGATTACTTGGGGAAAACCATTGACCGAACAATTGATTTGACTGGATCGGTTAATCCAAATTTTGACTTCAGATGAAATGAGCAGGCTGACAACAATGATACTGAGCTGAGAATAATAATAAGCTGTTCTTCGTGCACAATCATAAAATGACATATGCATCCCGATTTACCACGGCTCCGAAAGAAGTTGATGTTCTTACACGTAAACATTTACCACTGTAAGGGCACGCGCACTGAATAACACATCTTAAGTTTTATACCAGGGAACGATAGCGATTTTTGCTCCACAAGCTTCAATGTATAACGGATGAGCTCGGCAACATTCATTCTGAGAGAAAAGAAATTTTCCATTAGATAAGTTCGAAACCAGTTAATGGGAAAGAAAAGTGAAACTACTTTAGTTTACTCAGTAAATCTAGTTCGTCACAGTGTACTGGTAATAAAATTATAGGCTCAACGGATGCACGTACAGAGCAGTTCTAAAGCACAGTGCGAATGAATACTCCACAAATGACGGTGAATTTCAGGAAAGCTATTTGCCAGTGAGCTTAAGGAAACGAATCAATAGCGTTTTCATTTTCAAGTCTTTTTTATGAAAATTGACAGTTCGATCAGTAAATTATTTTCCACCCCAAATCAAAACAATAAATATATTCGTCTGCAATGCGGTAGCATATTGATTAGGATACATATCTTTGAAAACTATCTCTCATATAGTTACTTGCTTTGATTAAAAAAGTTCCACCTGACATTTCAGCCGGAATATTTCACAAAAGACCGAACACATCATTAGTTTTGTGTATATATGTTAAAGGATTTCATTTTATTGTCGTACTATGCCAGGCTCAGTTAAGATATACCAATAAATACTATCTCTTCTTTCCAACAGCGTCCAATTTGTGAGTTTGCATTCAGAAAAAGACTGTGCTTTTGCTTCAGAGTACACAAAGTATTTCAAATATGCTCTTATTTGACAACACAACTCATATTGAAGTTTCTCCATTCATCAGGCGCTGACTGTCAAGCCATGGAACAAAAAACATGGGAGGACCCTTTGAATGTATGCTGTGATCTATTCTAGGCCTTCCGTCCTCTGAACAACTCTAATATAATTCCTTACATTTGTTGAATCATTGCTTGAAGTGACATTTTATTGTTCATAATAAATATTTTCGGAACACAATGATCTGAATTTTTCCACTAAAATCCAATTCACCCGAATGATTGGCAGGGATTACGAAATTTCCCAATCACATCGATGGATTGAATGGCAAAATTATTTTGCTCCAACAGGCACATCCACAATTCTTAAGCAGGTGTGTCGGATTATATCAGAAATGATTGTTTAGGCAGTAGTCGCAGTACGGGTATTGTTGTCAAAGAAGAAATATTCTCTGCTGTTGCACTGTTATTATTAGCAACGCACACATACCGGTATAAATACTGAATTCGCCATCACCGGTATACAGAATTTTGTAACTTTGACGTACCTTGGTTGTGGAGTGTTCAAAAGATTTCGATTCCACAAAAATGAAAACTTTTATACATGAGGGAGCGGTAATACCATCAGTTATGTAACATCAATGAAAACGTCTGACTTGGTCAAGTTCAATATGACATCATTGGAGGTATACAAAGTAGTCTTAAAAATTCGGGGCGGAAATAACACCACCAAAAGCAAAATTCTTTAACATATCCATTGCTTTGCAGGTGAACAAGTACATTCTCTGCATCAGTTTCATGGTTTTCGCATCGTTTTCGAACGTCACTATGATGTCCATAAATAAACTGTGGACGTGGTTATTTACCTATATCAAATAACGCATTCATTTGCATTCCGATTAGTACTGTTCTAATTGTACTACGCTATGTTGTGGTACACTTTATGGACGGGATCACTTCATGGATTTTTTCTTCAATCCCATCGGTTTGGGAATCATCTTGTGTTTTTGTGCAAAAACCATAAGTTATCATAGGACAATATCTGACCCCGGTCAGTACCATTGCAAGAAGCACGTAGATATGGAACATTTGACATAATCGTGTCCTCTTTTAGTTTGAACAGCTATTTTACTGATATCCTCTCGCTGATTCGTTGCCAACGTTCAGTTTGGTGAGAATGACGGTTGACGGATGATTAGCCTATTTCGTTCCCTTTTTGGTCACGAACTACTTGAGGCGTCGATCCGCTTCGATGACTCCAGATTTGCCGCGGAATCTGTGCAAAAGATGTCATACAGTTTGCAAGCAGAACTGGGCCACCTTTCTTAACAGTCTATAGATCAAAGCAGTCCCATGACTTATGTACATGTCGCGAGCGATCAATGTTGACAGAGTCTTCTGGCCACGTACATCCCTCAACTTTTCTCTCTGTCTAAGCGGCACATAAAGTAAAAGATAAGATTACAGAGAGCCAGCAAAAAGAAATTAGGCCAAAAACCTAGAATACAAGTATAATATTACGTTTTCTCTTGAGTAACGTCATTCAGGGTATCCAATTTTGCATTGTGTGTTGCAAATTGTAAGTCATATGAAGATATATTGCTCGGTAATATCTGCAATAGACGTCACATTCATGGAAATTTACATATGTTCAGTTTTACCACAAAAAACATCACAATAATTGTTTGTGAATTGACGAGAACAGATCGTACCCATCAGTTTTAATAAGACGAACATTCGAAAAGCATATAGCTGATAGCTATTCAGGGAACATTGTTATATTCAGAAGAAGCTGAAAGTCCTATTTGAAGAACTGAACACGTATTTGAACTGATCGTTGAAACTGTCGGGATTACCTTTGGAAAACGTATCGTGTAATGCAAAGTTGTCTAAGGAGTTTATGGAGCAACAACTGGACAATTGGGCTTTATATTTGCCCGGTAGAATTGACAATGAAATAAGGAATGGGGATAAATTGAATTCAATATCTGTGTGGTTACGCTGTTTTTTATTCAGATTGTTTGCGTCCAAAATTTGTTTCGTTTTCCAACTGGAGTTCCGCTTGAAATGATGGCCTACGAAACGTGAATGAAATATAAGTGTTATTTTTCAATGAAATAAACTGAGGTTTTCCTCCACTGTGCCGTCATTCGTCACGGTTTTGTTAGTTATCGAACTTGAAGCGTAACTCATTGATTTTGATCAACTTCGGATTGATGACAATGCATAGGTTTCACCAATCGATTTCGATGTGGTAAATGCACTGGTCCCACTAATCAGTATCGTGAAGTAGGAATATGTTATCGACTGGCTCCTTTACCTGTCCATCAGACTAGTAAACTCATTCACAAAAGCAGACATGAGGTTTCGAGAACCCTTTTGATCCAATCAAATTTAACACAGGAGTTTCAGACGAACATTTATCATTCACTAGCGATTACGACTACTTTTATATTGAAAGAGGTAAAAAGGCAAACCAGCCAGTTCGGGTCAAGAACATAGTGTATGCACCCAGAGGGGTGGATATTCAGCTTTCATAGGTTTGACAAAATATTTTGATTGAGTAAATAAGTTTACCTGGCTTTTTGAGGAGTCGTGCAGAATAGGACGAAACAGGACACTCATGAGCCTTTGTACGATCGAATAGGTGTTTGTAATGTCTCCAAGTAGAATAATTTGAAATGCATTTGAGAAGGTTGCTGTGAAACAGATGAGCCGCGTTAGTTAATATTTCCTCAAACAATCTGTGGCAAAAACTAGAATTTCGTGGTAACAAATACCGGAAGAGTCACACGATCGGTATGTGCCTATTGTTGGAAACGTGCTTGAACGACTCGGTAGGAGTTTGAAGTCCTTCGAAAACACTTCAAGAAAGATCGCAGGGAAACCATAAAACCAGAAAGAGGCAGAATGGGTGAGAACTGATTCGCTCAGAATTTCAGTTTTGTCGTCCTCGGTTCATCAGTTTTAGCAGGAGAACGGCTTATTGAATAATTCATAAAATAAACTATCCACACAGAAAACGTTTGAAAAAATCGTTGCACTCAATCCAACGAGAGGAATTTGCTGGTCACTCTCACTCCCAACTGTAGAGCATGAGACTATCTCACATTCTGCCAATATCAGCCGGTGTGAAGCCTGAGTTTAACACTCGAAAGTAAAATCTACAAATTAATTTCTCAAACAAAATTCGATTACGAAAGCCTGTCATTTTGACGATAGTTTCATTTTACTGACGATCACCTGGATTGTCACAAGTCCCTTGAGATTCCAAAAATAAAAATCGGTGCATGTATATTCTTCAGATGAATAATTCTATCGGAATTCACATTATGCAATAACAAAGCGCAGCTTTATTGATGACCAGTTGTTTGAGTAGGTGATTCTTTCGGAGGATGACGTCCCATACCTTGTATCAAAAAAGATTCACCAAAATCGGGGTGAGAATATTCGTTTGTTCATTGCTCACCGGTACGCTTTTCAACGTATTAGAAACTCACAGGCTAAAACCATGGAACAAACATTCAATGATGCGGATATGCTATTCTGAGGAGTGAAGTCAACGGGCTGCGTTCACTCTGGACATTCGAGTCAAAAGTGAAACACTCGTTGCTGGACTCAATATCATCTAATTTCGAGGGGAGTCCCGAAGGGAAAACTATCAATTACTAGATTTAATGATTATTGTGCCAACCTTTATCTGGCTCATAAGTGAAGCATGGAGATGGTAGCAAAAACGGGATATAGTACGCACTACCAGCATATTCATCAATTAGATAAAATCAGATCACAACGGTCATTTTCCAAAACCTCATCATTGATTGTGAAAAACTATGTACCCATGTTACCACTCACAACATCAAAAAGTTTATATCAAGTACATACGTCCACCTGTGTTGATTTCACCATAAGCAGTGACCAGGTAATTAGTTGATCACAGCGCCGTCGGATATAGGTTGAATGTGTCCATGTCTGAGGTCCTCCCGTGCAAAGGACTTTTATTAGTCGTTGAGATATGCGTAACGCAATCCAAAACGCCAGGTTTTCAATTTTGGGTTGCAATACGGTTTTTTATAAAGCAATCATAAATCTGACACAGAAACTGTAAAAACCTCTACGATAACCACTCACGAGAACAGAGAGAAGACATAAGTCGCGAGATGCAAGCATTTCGTTTAATCTTGTCAACCGCGGTAACCACTTAGTGAATAAGAGGTGCCGAAATGCAAACAAATTCAGAATCACTTGAGGTTCAAGCGGTCAAGTTAACCAAATTTCTATGGAAAATATAGGTAAAAATGTTATGCAAATAATATCCACAGCACGCACCAATCAGCGGTCACTTGAGGTCGATCAATGTTCGATATGTGGTTCGGCAAATGAGCCGGTGTGGCACAAGACATTGGTGGAAAATGTATATTTGGAATAAGGATAAAGGGTTGGATCGATCTTGAGCTAGAGTCTCGAGTAAGGTTGTTTTGTCGATTATACACTGCTTCCCAATTTCAATGATTCTCATTACTTGACTACTGTTTGGTCAAATGTTCGAGGTGATGCGCAGAGGAAGAGTTCATTCGTGGTACAGTATTTTCCTTGTATAAGGAGCATGTTAATGGTTTTCCTATTCGCTTAGTTGCGTACATTATTTCTGTAACTGTATTTGATGAATCGTATAGGTCATGTCACATTCGCAGTCACGCTGAGTCAAATTCAATAGTTGTTTGGCTACCAATTTCATTGGCATGAATAATGGACTATTTTTTCGTAACTTACGGGAGGCACTTAATGTGTGGTCCATCAGTGCACATGCTCAACTCTGGTGATGACTGAGACAAGTTTTCCCTCAATTTTTATTGATATCAGTGACATCCTCATATATTCCTCTTGGGGCAGCAGAAACGTGCGTTCAGTACTGAGCTATGTATCAGAGTGTGTATAACATGAAGATGGGGTATATGATGTTTCTTCTTATTTTCGAATTGTTGTGCGCTTTCCCGAACAGACTGATCTCTGCGCTCCCTGCTGCAAATATCGAGAATTTATTTTCATGACATCTGCCATACTTTCCCGAGTGACAATCCTACCTCTCTCAGAATTCCCTAAATCATACCTTAATCCGACAGGTACCTTGTCGAATAT